AGCGAAGGAAGAGGTGGAGCCGAAAAATCAGAAGATTTGGAGGAAGTGGCCATCTCAGTAACTGGTAGGATGAAGAAGAGTAAGGCAAAAGATGAAAGCGCAGGGATGAAGACGAGCTCAAGGAAGAAGATGAAGTTGCAAAGGGTAAAGGTTCGCGTAAAAAACCAGAGTAAAAAACCAATGAAGAGATTAAAAGGAAATCACTTAGGGAGCTAGAAACGACAGAGGTGAAAGGTAATTAATGTGGCTTGTACCGTAAGGCAGCAGACTGACGAGACAACGACATAAAGCAAAAAAGAAACCCAAAACCCCTTAAACCCTAGAACCCCAAAAACCCTAAACCCTAAGTTCTGTGGGCCTCCAAACACTAAGGCGGGAATATTGAAAGAATATAAACAAACTATTCATATTCTTCCAAGGGGGCATTTTGTTAATGGCAAATCGAGAAAAGCGATCGAAAATGAAGGAAAAAATGTGACTCGATAAGATAAACAAAAATTCATTCGATGTCTAATTAGAAGTACGTAGCATATAGCATCGAGAAGCACAATCGAGAATCGAGTGAATGATAACCAAATGCCTGTTGTCGAATAAAAACTAAGTCATATGAGACCAGGGTTAAAAAGGAATCGTAAGCAATTTGAAGTTCTCGAAAAATACAGAATCGAGAGTAAAGAAAGCCAATGTGGACATCGAGACTTTGGCCAAATCGTGAAAGGAAGTAAGTCAAATGCACGTATAGAGAACGATTTCGAAACCATGGGAAAAAAGTCAGAGATCGTGGGAACGTGGGAAACTATAGAAGATAAACTGTCATACGCACGTAGAACGTGGTAGCAGTCGTGTCAACTGCTCTTGGAAGGCTTAAACGATGCCCTATAAATAGAGCAAAGGAGGAAGGAACAAGGGAGCAGAAATTGGCAGAGAACAGAATCAGTAGTGAAAAGTCTATCGGAGAAACGACGAACACCATGAAGCTTCTGGCAATCTGGATTTCCTTGCTCACTGAGTACATTTACCGCTTTCTGTATTTTCCTTGGTAATTTACTTTGATGCAACTTAAATTCAGCAAGTTTAAGTTTCTGTCTTTTCGATTCCTTGTCATTTCAATTCAATGAAAGTTTAAGTTTCTGAAAGTTTAAGTTTCTGTATTTACGATTTCCTGTCATTTAACATTTTGCAAATCTCGATTTCCCGTTATTTAACATTCTGCAAATCTCGATTTCCTGTCATTTACTTTTCTTGCAATCTCGATTTCTTGTCATTTATATTTGCGCTGTTTTCGATTTCCTGTCATTTACAATTAATGCAAACTTGGGGTTTTCGCACTTTACATTTCCTTGCAATTTAATATTCTGTTTCTCGATTCGATATTTTTACTGTGTTTGGTATTTTAAATATAAAAAAATAGCGTTTTCGATATTCTGTGACTTTCGATTCTCATACACGTTTTCGATTGAAAGTCAGACTGCTAGCCCAAGTAAAAAGAACTTACGTGGGAGGATTTTGATTAGGACCAAATCACCTTCAGAATCGAAATCGATCGAAATTCCACCAGAAACACATACATAACGGTAGTCTAAAATTGACATCAATTTTAATATTCATGTATAAATTAAAAATTTTGGAATCACATTTAAACATTTTAACATATAAAGAGATTAATTACCTATTTAACCTAATAATAATAATAATAACTATTGACATAATGTATGCAAGCAATGTAATTAGGATTAAGAATAGAGTTTTTGTTAATGACATCCCATTTTATTATACGTATATAAGAAATTAATGAATTATATATATATATATATATATATATATATATATATATATATATTCTAAAAATTAAAATATATTAACTAAGTCCTACTTATTGGTTTAAAATAAATAAATGGGCATTCCATTAAAAAGATGAATTTATACAGAAAAATTATGAACTAATCCATAATTTTCATAAATCTTTCAATACAGCATAATTAATTTTTTTTTAAGGAAGTTGTTTTGAATGGATCTCTAAGGTCTACTTTTTGTAGTCTTTCTTTATTATCTCTTTTTATATCTATCTATGTTTTAATGCAATAAAGTTGATTCAGAGACTTGACTCAGACCAGTCACAAACATCCTCCTTTCCAAAGGCACATGTTTTTCTTTAAAGCAACAAGAAATGCGGAAATTTGTTTTTTTTTTTTTTTTTTTTGTATGAAGCAGGAGGATTCATTTAGTACTGTTAAATTATTTAAATGTTTTATTTAAAATGTCATTTTCTTTCTATCTATCAAATGAAAAAGTTAGAAAACTCATTAAAATTTAATTAAATAAAAAAACTTAAAATGAGTAATCTGGCAGCAAATAATTCCAACCAGAGGAGCCAAACAATCAGAACAATCTTTGTTAGAAAAAAATATCTTGACCCTTTTAATTTACATAACAAAACAAAAATATTTACTAAAATGTTACTCCCTCAAGGTTATTTTCCTACCAACCATTTTCTTTCCCTGACAAACCTACCCACCCACCCACCCCACAATCCCCATTATGTTTGTGTAGAATATAAAATTTGAAATTATTCACCATAATTATTTTATAAAGTTCACCTATATATTAAAGTTTGCATAGAATCCTTGATAAGTAATTGCTTCTTATCTTAAAAAAAATTATAAAAATAAAAATTTGCATTAAAAGTTATGCATTTATAAAATAAAACATTAAATTTATTTTGAAAACAAGACAAATAACATATATGAAACTACCTATAAGTTTTCTCTATAAAATAAAGCAGAATACTTGTATTCTAAGAATAGACCTCTAATATACTCTTTACAATTCGTTAAAAATTAATTTTAAGTAGTTAATTTTATTTTTATTTAATAATTTTTTTATTTTGTAGTTTTTAATAGTTTTTACTCAATACAAATTAATATACTAAAAAAAACGTGTTAGTGAATGAGCCGGTAGTTAACCTTATCTAATGAGAAAGCAGAATTTTATCTGATTTGATGAATTATGTAATTGTATTAGTTATAAATTTTTTCATAACAATTGTGATTTATCATATTCTAGGTTTTTTTTTTTTGGAGTTTTGGTTTGCTCTTCTTGTTAAGTATTATTTTTTCTTTTGTTTGTTTTTTAATATGAAATAAATAGGATATCAAATTAATTAAAATATGATAGTTTCATATCGTGTTAACCTCTATATAAAAAAATAATTTTTTGAGATAAAAAGTTTACTAATCAGTAATTTTTTTTACTCAGTTGTTTTGAATGGATTCTACTCTTTTTAGTCTTCCTTTATGGTCTTTTTTGTTAATTTATATTTTACTATTTGAATGAAATAAAGTGGTAGAGATTTGACTCCTCTCACAGCAATAAGATATGTTAGAAAATTATTTTATTTTATTTTTTACCAGGGCAGACGGCTCATTTCTCATATATTTATTATTATTATATTTATTTAAAATAAATAATCTAGAAAACACAAATAAAACTTAATTAAATAAAAAAAAGTATAGAACAATAATATAACAACAAATATTTTCAATTCCAAATTAAATTTCATCCCCTAATCTAATTAAATTTTCTTGAACTGAGTTGAATAAATTTTTAATTTTTTTTATTATACGTAGTTCAATGTAAATTAATTAAATTATGTCAATTTATTATATCTTTTTAAAATATTTGTATTATTTTTTATAAATTTATAATATTATTTAGAATAATATTTTAAATTATATTAAGTAATTTGATATATAAAAATACATTTAATAAATAGAATAATTAAAAAATAAATAATTGTATATTATTATTATTAATATTAATGGTATTTAATAATTTTGTTATATCAATATATTAAGTTAAATTAAATTTGATTTAGTTGTAATATAACTTAATAAGTTGAATTAAGTTGGATTTATTTTTAATAAAATATTTGAGCTTTTTTTGTTCATATAAAAAGATATTTACTAAAATATCACTCACCCAACATTATTTTCCTACCTAACCATCTTTTCCTGAGAAACTGACAGTACAGACTCATGATACTGATTTCCTTTCTATTATGTTTTTGTTTCCGTTTTCGTCGACTGAGTTTTTTTTTTTTTTTCAAACGTTTGTGCAGGCTATAAATTTTTTTAATTATTAATTAATATAAATTTCATCAATAATTAATTCTTAATATGTAAAAAATATTTTTAATTAAAATATTCATTGAAATTATTTGAAGTAAATATGGTATGTTTCACAACAAACAAAATTAAAACAAAACTGATTAAAAATGAAAAATAACCAATTAATATAAAAATAATATGAATTAACACAATTAGTAATGGTTTTAATTGTAATTTTAAAATTATGATCAATTTAAATAATCATTACAATAATTAAAACAAAATTTGGCAATAATGAGAATTTTAATTGAATTTATCTACACAACTATGAACAAAAAAAATATATATATATATATATATATATATATATATATATATATATATATATATATATATTGAGATTACCTTGATATTTCACAATAGCTCAAAGACAAGAAAGAGATAACTTCTATTGTATCAAATTGTTATTATTTTTTATTTTATATAATTTATAAAAAATATTATGATTAAACAAAAAGAAGAAAATATAATATTTTTATATTTAAAAAGATAACTATAAATAGTGAAGGAAACAAATAACTAAAATTTTTCTAATATAATAAATTTTATGTTGTTTCTTTCATTTTAATTAAAATAGTATAGGCATAACATAAAATGATCAACAGTCATATCTGATTTAGTATATTTTTAAAAGGTGAAAAATGTTTTAATATATATATCTAGTAATATGTACTGATAAAATTGAAAATATTAAAAATACAAAAAATAAAATAAAATTCGAACAACTTGGTTTTGTTGATCAGTAATCTTGAACACCTGATAGAAGTTTGTGTAATATACAGACTGCAATGCAGAATGAACGAACTGAATTATCCGGCGATAAGTCATTGTCTGCTAGTGAGTAGACATTTTCTGTTGACCCATTTTTATGAAAGCAGATTCCATGTTGGGGGTGTGCCGTGCCTTCGCAAGTTTCTCAAAGAGAAGAACTTGACATGCAATTTCTCACCCTCCACACATTGGTATAGGCTGTTTGAAGGATCTTGTTCCCATCTTCAGATTGACCATTATTAATTAATGTGTCAGTAATATCATTACTTATCTTCTTTGAGTCAAGGTTCTGATGATAGATAACATTGTTTTCTACTACCATTCTAATCTGCTAGTTCTGTTTCTAAACAAGGTGCAACATTGCACTTCTAAGTGCATCCATCATCATAGTCACATTTGACTATGTAGGTAACTTTTCCGGTCTTCAACTACCAAGAAATAAACATGATTTTTGACATTAGCATGTATGATTTCTTCTTTTTGTGCAGTTAGAAAATTAATGTTGGAGATTGGTACTTGTGTCAAGTCAAATATATATACTGGCTTCTGTGGTAGAGTTCAAAAAGTGTAGTCATGTCACAAGTGTCCACTAATGCTGCATAATATAATTTTTTTCATAAGCATGTCCTGTAGCTCCACCAATTTCTGTCCTCACAATATAATACACCTTTCCCTTACAAGAATTCGAAGCCTTTAAATGTATTCTTGATCCCAAAATAGTTACACTAGAACCATGGTATCCATCAAGATTCTGGCCTTATGGCAGATTCTTTTCTCCTTTCTTTCTGTCTTTCTAACCCAATCTTCACTCCAGCTTGCTTGGTTTTCCAAAACAGTGATTTTGGCCTCTGCTGCCAGCACAGGAACAGTTGGTGATCAAGCTGCAGCTGATAACAGTGAGGCAAATGCACTGTTGAAGTGGAAACACAGCTTTGATAATTACAGCCAAGATCTCTTGTCAACTTGGACCGGTTCTGCTTCATGCCAATGGCAAGGAATTCAGTGTGATAAATCCATGTTTGTCTCCAGCATAAATCTTGCAAATTATGGACTTATAGGTACACTTTCCACCCTCAACTTCTCCACTTTTCCCAACCTCCTCATCCTAAACATCTTTAACAACTCCTTTTATGGAACCATTCCCCCACAAATTGGTAACATGTCCAAAGTAAATGTTTTGAATCTTTCAACAAATTATTTCAACGGTTCAATCCCTCAAGAAATGTGGAGACTAAGAAGTTTACAAGGCCTTGATCTTTACCAATGTCAACTAAATGGAGAGATTCCTAATTCCATAGCAAACTTGTCCAACCTGTCATATCTAGATTTAGGTGTGAACAATTTTTCTGGCCACATTCCACAAGAGATTGAAAAGTTGTCCAAGTTAGAGTATCTAGCTATTAAACATAATGCTCTTTCTGGTTCCATTCCTCCAGAAATTTCAATGTTGCAAAACCTCAGGAAAATTGATTTGTCAAGAAACTCGCTCTCTGGTGCTATCCCTGAAACAATAGGCAACCTTAGTAATTTAAATGAACTTCTCCTCTCTAATAACTCTCTTCTATCTGGGCCAATCCCCTCCTCCTTGTGGACCATGTCAAACTTGACCTTGCTTTTTCTGGATAAGAATAATCTTTCTGGATCAATCCCTGCTTCCATAGAAAACTTGGCCAATTTAGTGACTCTTGGACTTGATTACAACCACCTTTCCGGACCTATTCCTTCCACAATTGGAAACTTGACCAAGCTCACAGAGTTGTATTTACGCTTTAACAATCTTTCTGGATCAATTCCTCCCTCTATTGGAAACTTGATCAATTTGAAAATACTTAGTCTCCAAAGAAACAATCTCTCCGGAAAAATTCCTGCCACCATTGGAAATTTGATAAACCTCACCATTTTAGAAGTGTCCTTCAACAAGCTTAATGGCAGCGTTTACCAAGTCCTGAATAACATCCGCAACTGGACTTTCTTGTTACTAGCTGAGAATGATTTCACAGGCCACCTACCACCTCAAATTTGCTCTGCTGGGTCCCTAAGATTCTTTAGTGCTCATAGCAACCGTTTCAGCGGTCCAGTGGCAATAAGCTTGAAGAACTGTCCTAGTATTACTAGACTCAGGCTAGAAAGAAACCAATTGGAAGGTGATATAGCACAAGGTTTTGGTGTATATCCAAATTTGGAATACATTGATTTGAGCGACAATAAGTTGTATGGCCAAATTTCACCGAACTGGGGAAAGTGTCCGAATCTTCTTACCTTGAGGATGTCCAACAATAACATTTCTGGTGGTATACCAGTAGAACTTGTTGAGGCAACCAACCTAGGAGAGCTTCATCTTTCTTCTAACCACTTGAATGGAAAGATTCCAAAGGAATTAGGGAATATAAAATCGTTAATTGAACTCAAGATTAGCAACAACCATCTTTCTGGAAACATTCCTAAAGAAATCGGATCACTGCAAATTCTTGAAGAATTGGATCTTGGAGATAACCAGTTGAGTGGCACAATACCAATAGAAGTTGTGGAATTGCCAAAGTTACGAAACTTGACATTGAGCAATAATAAAATAAACGGAAACATTCCGTTGGAGTTTCGCCAATTTCAGCCTCTTGAATATCTTGATCTTAGTGGGAATTTGTTGAGTGGAACCATACCAAAACAGCTTGGAGAGGTGGGGAAACTGCAATGGTTGAATCTGTCTCACAATAATCTTTCTGGAAGCATTCCATCCAGTTTCGATGGCATTTCAAGTTTGACTTCGATCAACATATCCTACAACCAGTTAGAAGGGCCACTTCCAGAAAATCGAGCCTTTCTTAATGCTTCAATTGAATCATTAAAAAATAACAGCGGCTTATGTGGCAACGTCACTGGCTTAATGCTTTGCCCAACCAACCACACTCAGAAGAGGCAAAAGGGCATTCAACTAGCACTATTCATTATCTTGGGTGCTCTTGTGCTAGTATTATGCGGGGTGTCAGTTTCAATGTATATTCTCTGTCGAAAAGCAAGAAAGAAAGATAACCATGCTAAAGAAAAAGGACAGTCAGAAAATGCACTGTTTGAAGAATTGTTTTCCATATGGAGTCATGGTGGAAAACTTATGTTTGAAAATATCATTGAAGCTACAGACAATTTCAACGACAAATATCTCATTGGACTTGGAGGGCAAGGATCTGTTTACAAAGCTGAGATGCCTACAGGCCAGGTTTTTGCGGTGAAGAAACTTCATTTGGATACAGATGGAGAGAAACCCAATTTTAAAGCTTTTGAAAATGAAATTCAAGCTTTGACCGAAATCAGGCACCGTAACATTGTAAAGCTCTGTGGATTTTGTTCACATTCACGGTTCTCATTTTTGGTTTACAATTTCTTGGAAGGGGGTAGCTTGGATCAAATTCTAAGCAATGAGAAAAAAGCAGCTGCATTTGACTGGGAAATGAGGATGAATGTTGTTAAAGGTGTGGCCAATGCTTTATCCTACATGCATCATGATTGCTCACCTCCAATAATTCATCGTGACATATCCAGCAAGAATATTCTTTTAGATTCACAATATGAAGCTCATGTCTCTGATTTTGGGACAGCTAGGATTCTGAAGCCTGGTTCACCCACTTGGACCACGTTTGCAGGCACCTTTGGGTACGCAGCTCCAGGTAGGATCCCTTTTCCTGATATTTAGAATATCAATTGAAATTATCTCTTTTTGTGTAATTAATTGAAATTTTGCTTAACCATTGTTTACGTGTAGAGGGATTAAGCTAATCCAATGAGTATTCAGAAGTGAAGTAAAAATGTCGTATATGCAAATACCAAATCCATATAGAAAATACAAGTTGGTTAACTTGTAGGTTATACAAAAACCTACTGTGGCTTTATGAGAGTAACTACACATTTTTTTGTTTATTGTAGAACTTGCCCAAACTATGGAAGTGACTGAGAAATGTGATGTATTCAGTTTTGGAGTGCTTTGTCTAGAAATCATCATGGGGAGGCATCCGGGGGATCTCGTTTCTTCATTGTTATCTTCATCTTCAGCAGCAATAACTCATAATTTGCTATTGATTGATGTGATGGACCAAAGACCAAATCATCCTCTTAAATCAGTTGTTGGGGACATCATTTTGGTTGCAAGCTTTGCATTTTCTTGCTTGAGGGAAAACCCAGGCTCTCGTCCTACCATGGATCAAGTGTCCAAAAGTCTTATGATGGGGAAATCACCTTTATCGGATCAGCTCCCCTTGATTAGACTTGGACAACTCCTCTAAAGCACTGTTGAACTACAGCAAAATATTTTGCTTTTCTTGTTTTCTCTTCGTACACCATATTATCCTTTATCTTATGCTGTAAGTTTTGTTTGTTTTGTCGTTGAAATAAATCATGTATAAGTTACTCCTAGAGCAGCTAGATTTTCTGGTTCATATAGCTTTGGGTTGGGATAATTACCTCTGTAACAAAATTTTGTGGGAAATGCTTAGTGGAACCGATCATGCATGCAAGTTATTGGTTTGAATTAAAACTAATCTATGATTTTGGCTTTTTTAGACGCCTTGGGACTACTACGTGTTTTCTTTATCTCCTTTTCAGAGGTAAGTTTGCTTTAATTAACGCCTTTTAACCTTTTCAAATTGTATTCTTATTCCATGGCCTCCGTGTCCAATAATGGACAATGTTCACTAGGAGAATACTCCTATAAATTTACATAATTATTTTATTTCTCGGTGATATAAATATATAAATAATATTATTTAATTGTCTTAAAAAAAATTATAGTTTGTATTGCAAAGATAGTTAGGATTTTTTTATTTAGGATTTTTTTATTTGTTAAAATAGATCAATTTTAAAAAAAATTACGAATTTAAATAATTATACTTAAATTTATACATGATTTTTATTTTTAATTTTTTTAAATATTAATTTATATAGAAGTCTAATTTTATATTATAATAATAGTAATTATATTCTTATAATTAATAATAATAATATATTTTTTATTATAAATAATAATAATAGTTAAATTTATTATTATCAATTTTTTTATTGTACTTATTATTATTATTATGGTTGTTGATACTAAAATAATAATAATAATAATAATATATCAATAATTATATTAACAAAAATAATATTAATAATGAGATAATTATATTAATAATTATAATTCTCTTATTTATTTATTATTAATATTAATAATAATAAAATAATATTAATAATAAGATAATTATATTAATAATTATAATTCTCTTATTTATTTATTTATTATTAATATTAATAATAATAAAATAATATTAATAATGAAATTTTATTATAAAATTATAATAATATTAATAGTTATATTATTATTAATTGTATTAATTATTATATCAATAATTATAATTTTATTATTTGTTATTTTTTAATGTTAATAATGATAAAATAATATAAATAATGAATAATTAATAATAAAATTATGTTATTATTAAAAAATAATAATAAAAAATATATAAATAAATAATAAAATTATAGTTATTAATATAATTATCTTATTATTAAAATTATTTTTATTTTATATAATTATAATTTTATTAGTATTATTATTATTAATTTATTATATTAATAATAATAAAATTGAAATAATATTAAAAATTATAATTCTATTATTTTTAATAATTTCATTATTATTTTTTTAGTATTAATAATATAATAATAATAATAATAAAACTAACAAAATAAATAATAATTTTACTAGTAATATAAATTTAATTATTATTATTTTAATTATTTATTTTATTATTAATAATATAAAATATAATAATAATAATAATAATAATAATAATAATATTATTATTATTATTATTATTATTATATAAAGTTGGAAGTACGTACTAGATAATATATTTATATAAATTTTTACAAAATTCATACTATCTAATATAATTTAAAATAAAAATGAAATGGTAAAGTTGGACTCGTATTAAATTTGTGTTTTTATTTTGATAAATTTTAAAAAACAATTGTCCTAATTTAATAAAAAGTCGTATTTAGTTTTTGTTTTTGTTTTCTAGAAAAAATGTAATGGAGTATGATATATTTTCCTTGATTTTTCTTTATAATATTATTATCATTAGCTTTAGTTATTTTTCTTATAAAACATTTTTTTAGTCCATACATATTTAAAATTCATTTATTCCATATTTAATTTATTTGTCTCTAGTATCTTAATAGTGACTACAAGAAATTAAATATAATGTATATGTTTGAAATAAGTTATTTTAAGTATAAAAACTAAAAAAAAGAGTAAAGTTTATTAAGTTGTAAGATTAAATAAGTAATTACCTCTTATTATTTGATAATTTAAAATAATTATAATTTTATAATTTATTAACAATTATTTTATGTTAGTTAAAATAATTAATGATTCTTAATTAGTTAAACTTATAAATAGGAATTATGAATTAATTATATAAAAAATAGGATATTATCTTAAAAAAACCTTAAAACATTAAATTAATTTTTTTAAAATTAATTTATTTTTTTCATTTTTACATAAAATATTAACTGATGGTTGTGGAAAGAAAAACTAAGTTAATTTAATTTTTTCATTTTTACATGAAATTTACTCAATATAATGGTTGGGGAGAGAAAAATTAAAGTGGCTTTAGTGAAGCAATTGTGAAATGACATGATTTCACTCTTCATGGTAAAGATACTTTATGCAATGGTTGAATTGTTTGGCACCTATGATTAGAAAGTTTGTTTTCTTTGAATATGTTTGTTTTACTTGGCTCACTTTAACTTGTATATTACTATTTAACTAGTTTATAAAATTTTCAAATTTATTAATTTGAATATTACAATTTGCTAGGCATATTAAAATAAACATATGTTGATGGGTTTCCCTTTTCGAAGAGAGCTACCATGCCCGTGAACAAGTTTTGCGATCAAGAACATATGCTAAGCCTGCATATTCTTGTATGGATGAAATATAGTGGTGATGATAGAAGCAAGAGTTGAGAGATATTTATAAAGGAAATAAGAGTGTCGTGAGTGGTTACATGTGTAGACTTTGAAAGTCTTGCACAAAGGAAAAATAAAACATTCATAACCTAAAGACATATTTTCCAAGTTTGTCTTATTTAATAAGTCCTCTTCTTCTCAAACAAAGCTGATCATGTGTTCACAATCAGAAGTGACATACTTTAAAGAAAAATATGCATGCTTTTAGAGAAAGGTGTGTTTATTGTTTATGGACCAAATTCAGGAAAAAGAAAGAAGACGCAATAAAGGTACAAAAACTCTTGAAGATCAACTTAACAAATTTACTATAAAATTACATAGAGAAGCCAAAGAAAAAAGCTTTTAAAGTTAAAAAAAAAATGGTAAAATATATTTCGGTCAATGGGCAAATTTAAACCCATTGGGTCCGAAACAAAAGTCCATTTAGATAGTTCAGGTCTTACTATAATCCCGAAGATACAAAATATGCACATTTTCCCTAAATTAGCATGTTGTAAGTTCCTATATTGCGAGTTTAATATTATAATATGAAAATGTTCACATACGTCAAACTTACAATGTCTAGCATACAATGGTAATAATGAATAAATAAATAAATACTTGTGGTCAATTGCTCTTAATAGAAAAGAATACCAAAACAATAAATACATGCACCTGAGAAAACAGGAAAACAATATTCAGAACAGCCGCAACACCATTTGTTGTTATTTTAGTCCAACGTAGTTCCCATGAGATACGTTGTTCATGACCAATTTTCCAGGCAAAATGGGGGAAGGAACTGTGAACGTGTTTGGATAATTTCGGGGACATATATATATATATATATATATATATAAGGTACACATTCATCATCGAATAAATCTTTTTTGTTTAATACACTCATATTATGTATCTCTGATTCAACACACACCAAATATAACCCACCCATCCCTAAGTTTCTCCAATAGCATTAGATTACACCAACACGTGGCACGTCCTGAACTTCTTATTTGTATGCAAAGTCAAAACAAGACAACAATCTCCATGCAGCATGTCTTCTTCTGGTATATACAAAAAGTCTATACGTTATCCAATTAAAAAAAATAAAGACCAAATACCCCACTAGCACCAACTCCATAAGAATATTGAATCAACCCAACAATTCTTTCATCACTTGCTCATTTTTTCTTCCCCGTTTGACTTCAATTCCCATCATCACTCAGAACTAGGGCTACTATACCATTAATCCACACTCACTCTTGAACAAAAACACTTTCTGTACTTTCTTGTCTGTACAATGTAAGTGAACAACCTCAAGAAATATGGATAGAGGAGTATCATGAATGCGACATATCCACTAGGACGCTTATAAATAGATTTGTGATTAGCTCAATACCACTGAAAATAAGATTTGGGAAGAGAAACAATGGAGCAACAGGCAAATGGTGCTTCTTCGTTTGCCAGTGCTGTGAGTCTTGACCAGCTTGGAATGTCTTCTATACCTCAACGTTATGTTCTTCCACCATCACAACGACCTAGCCCTCATATTCCAATCTCCACCACTCTTCCCATTATAGACTTGTCTAGTTTGCGCGATCAATCTCTTGTATCTAGATCAACCATCAATGAAATCCGAATTGCCTGCAAGGAGATTGGTTGCTTTCAGGTATATATAGCACCAGCTAAATTTGAATATGCACCAAACGTACACATTTACGTGCATGAAAAATGCACGTTTTATACATTTGTACATATTTAATAATTAATATATAGGAGTAACACATAAGATGTATTTTGTAAGAAAGTTCTTTTTATTTTTTTTTATACAAGAGTGGAAAAGAAATGTAGACTAAAAGCACATAATCAATAATGTTAGACATTCATAATTCCTATCATCTCATGAAAAAGGTTCTCTCTCGTTATATTTATATTGGATAAGAAGTTTAGAAAGTATAACAGCAACAACATTTTATATGAACAGAAATTTTATTTAATATACCTGATTTGATCAATTATTATTACAAATGGTAACACTATTTCCCATTTACAAATCATATAACTTGCCAGTGAACACCAACCTTACACATGTACATGAATATTAAAATTTACATTAACTGATTAGAAGTAAGCTGAATTTAGAGAGACAATTTTTAAGTGCAAGGTTATATAAACACATGTGCAACCATCAAATTTTTATGGTGACTATTATTATATATTAATATAAGGCTTCCACTTTTGTAGGTTATTAACCATGGGATTGATCAATCAGTAATGGATGAAGCCCTAGAAGTCGCAACAGAGTTCTTCAACCTTCCTAATGATGAAAAGATGAGTTTATTTTCTGAGGATGTTCACAAACCTGTAAGGTATGGAACAAGCCTAAATCAAGCTAGGGATGAAGTTTACTGCTGGAGAGATTTCATCAAACACTACTCTCATCCAATATCAGATTGGATTCACATGTGGCCTTCAAATCCGTCAAATTACAGGTATTACTATGAAGTTTTGAAATCTCCATGAGAATTCTACTAAACAAAGCAAATGTAAAATATCAGACTATTTTCCAAATAGACCTATTTAATTTAAAAATTAAAATAAAAAATTGACTGCTTCCATAATGAATGCTTCTCTTCATGTATAAAATATACCCAACATGTGTTGTCAGGGAGAATATGGGAAAGTACGTAAAAGCTGTACAAACTCTACAAAATCAACTGCTGGAAATAATTTTCGAAAGCCTGGGGTTAAACAGCAATTACTTACATGAAGAAATCAATGGAGGCTCGCAAACACTTGCAGTGAACTGCTACCCTGCATGTCCAGAACCTGATCTCACCTTAGGTATCCACCCTCATTCTGATTACGGGTCCATAACTATGCTGCTCCAAACCCGTTCAGGCCTAGAAATCAAGGACAAAAACAACAACTGGATGCCTGTGCCTTTTGTTGAAGGAGCACTTGTGGTGCAGTTGGGTGACCAAATGGAAGTTATGAGCAATGGACAATACAAGAGTGTCATTCATCGAGCAACGGTTAATGGCGATGAGAAGAGGTTTTCCATTGTGAGTCTTCACAGTTTTGCAATGGACAGAAAGATGGGTCCTGCAGTGGAACTTGTTGATGAGCAGCACCCTAAGTCCTACAAAGAGTTCTGCTTCAGGGAATTTCTGGACTTCATATCCTGCAATGATATCACAAAGGGTAGGTTTCTTGACACTTTAAAGATGAGCAAACCTTAGAAATATTTAGAGGTTTAAAACCTATCAATAGCAAGCTGTTTCTCAAGGGTGTTTTATGAAGTGGCCTAAGCAATAGGCATAGAAGTGATTTGTGTTTTTTCCTTTCGTTTTTTTCTTTTTTCTCCTTTAGTGTGTGGCTAGCTATGGATCTCTCGTAGTATGTGCTTGGAATAAAGAAAAGCAATAAAGAAAGTTCAGCTTTTATCAATTGAAGACACCAACATCACACACATATTAAAAAACATGAGTATATCACAATTAAACATCTATCATAGAAAATGAGATTGAATTCATTACACATATGTAGTTTAAAGATCAACATGAAAGCATAGCTCATAAAGAAGATGCCAACTACCTGAGCCTATGTTCGTGAATTCAAAGGATAGATTTGCCATAATATCAAGTCCTCAACCCTCTAACCCATTGTTTTATTACATGTATATCTTATTCGTGTAATCCACCGAAACAACAACCAAAATGGATAATATCTCTTCCTACACAGAAAACTTCGTAACATGTAAATATTGGTTGTGAAAAAGAAAATTAGTAGAAACTTTACCAAGATTTTCCTATCATTTTTCCTCGTCGTTTCTTCATTGTAGAAAGCCTTTGTGTGACAAGCTTGTAAAATGAACACTCCATGATGTTCTTTGTGCCTAAAATATATAGCATTCTCCCATAGTTTACACGTGGAGAAGAAGCACATCGTGGGGGCTCCTCTAGCCGACGCGTATATAGCTCATATTTGGTTCTTTGTCTTACCTTTCTCGTGGAGGCTCCTCAACTCAACACGTAAATGCACCTATTGTTTCTTTTTTTTATTCATTTATTTATTTTATAATCAGTGCCCCTTTTTTCTTGCATTCTATCTCCAATTCTGAGTGCTTGTGTACCGTTTCAAGTCCATCTTAGCCAACAGCCTGCGTTGCATGGCCCAATCACACTCTCGTGTTGCAGAGTTCCCCTAATCCTCTGAAAAGTAAGCAAACAATAGTATTAATTACCACAACTTTTTCACTCTGTACACTATCTTTTCTTTTATATGATTATTTTTAAACTTCTAAAAATTAGTCAAAATATTTATATATTATTTTTCACTAGTGTAGAATATACAAAATTATTTCTTCAAACAAACAACGGGTACAAAAATTATTATTTTCATCCTAAATTATCTACAGATTTAAACTTTATAATTTGTTTCAAAATAAGTTATGTTCTTATTTTATAATGTATTATTAATTATTTTTATATTTTTTCTTATATAAATTAATATGTTAACTTTTCAATTATTAATATGAACTTTATGCATATTGAGATAAAAGAGGATTTTTAGATTCCAAATTATAATAATAGTAAAGTTAAAACTTATTCTAGGTAGCCAACAACCAAATAGTTCATAACTTAAAAAGTTGAATAACTTTAATTCTACACAAAAGACAAATTATAATATAAGTGCATGATAAAAGTTTACAATATAATTTTTTTAACGATGGATATGTATATATAGAAAATAAATAATTAACAATTATTTTTAAAACGATTGATAATTGCAATCTATATACTTTTTGAAGTAAACTAGATATAATTATCTAAAATTTTATATTCTACCCTAAATTTGAGTCACTAATAATTCACCCAATATATTTAGACGCGAAAGAAATATGTTAGAGATTTTACGTCCTTTGAAAATATGGTTAAATGAAAGTATTTAAGTGGAGAATATATTATATAAACTATTATTGAGTTACACTTAACTCAATATTTATATTAGTGTCTAAACACTCTCTCTCAATTAAAAAAAATATATATATATATATATATATATATATATATATATATATATATATATATATATATATATATATATATATTACTTTTACCAAGTAAAAATTATTGGATGATAGTTTATCAATGAACTCTGATCTATATGCACAAGAGTGTTTGGTGGCAATTCAATTTATAGATGACGACGGTTCAACAAGACTTGGGTATTGATTTTGAATAGAAAAGGGATTCTCCTATAAGGTGAAATATGATGAAATTTTTTTTGTCAATAACACAAATTTCATATCTAACCTCCAATTTAAAATTAACAAATACATTTTGAGTTTTTCTCTTTATATAACATTTCTTGTAATTCATTATTGATTTCGATATTTTTTGTTAGAATTAATTTATTCTATTAAGTGATTTATGTAAAATATAACGATAGAATCAAATATGATTTAATAAAATATAAAGACTTATTGGTTATTAAGAAAAGTCAGAATAAAATAAAGATAAAATAAAATAAAAATTTAGGATAACCAACTTGATGGAGGTTGGTTAATAAAGGGAATTAGGGTTACGTCTTCGACCATAAGGTTCTTCTCACGAGTAAACCATTAGAAAAATGTGACAAGAAAAAAAAGACAAAGAAATAAATTGGAAAAAGGAGATTGAAGAACAAAGACATTAAAGAACCACTACAAGAAAAATCGCTTTTAGCGACCGAAAAAATCGGTCGCTAATGGCCAAAATTCGGTCGCTATTCTGTTAGCGACCGAAATTAGCGACCGAAATGGTTGGTCGCAAAAGGGCAAGTCGCTAAGTTGTTAGCGACCGATTTACATTTCGGTCGCTAAATAGCGACCGATCTGGTGGTCGCTAAAGTGGTCGCTAAATAATTTGGTCACTTATTCATTGGAGACCAAAATAGCGACCGAATTAAGTGGTCGCTAAATCGATCGCTAAATCCAGTGATAAAGTTTTAAAAAATAGCGACCAATATATTCGGTCGCTAATATATTAATATAATTATTTAAATAATAATTAAAATCGATCGCTAAATCGGTCGCTAAATTGGAGACAAAGTTAAAAATAATAGCGACGGATATAATCGATCGCTAATATATTAATTGAATTATTTAAATAATAATTTAAATTGGTCGCTAAATCGGTCGCTAAATTTGAATTGTATATTATAATAAATTTGTAACGACCAAAAATTTGGTCGCTAAATCGGTCGCTAAATTAATAACAAAATTAATTATTTTTATTTATTTACATTTTTAATTATATCAAGTTCATTAGACAACTTTTTTTCTCCAATTGGACACAATTGTATTACATAATGAATGCTTAGTAGTTAGTAGTTAAGATGCATTCTCATCCATGAAATGTGGACCAATTGGTAAAAACAATAATAAATTAATAATAAGATGACCTGAATAGATATTGGTGCATCCATATTTAAATTACTTTTTCCATTCCACTATCACTGGGATATGAGTCTTGATCATGAACCAGAACTAGAGGTTTATTCCACAATTGAAGACTTCAAGCAACAGTTATACCAACATGGAATACATGTCAAGGGAACACAGATATATGACGAAGGGATCAACAGTTAGAGGACCTCCAAAAAGGTGGAGAAGTTTGCATGAATTTTTCTTGAATGCTTGGGAAAGGTATATAAGGAAACCTTTTGATTCAGATACATTAAAATTTAAAATACTTCATGAACAGTGATGGCTAGGAAAATTTAAGCTAACTGAAATAATCTACATGTTCTCACCATGCTCCATCTTTTGATGATCTTGCTTCAAATTCCAACTCTGATGGATCTCGCATAACTTCTGTAAAACAATCAGTCTAGGTACAATCTCACAAGATAACTCATTTTATTAGAAGTTTCCTCAAATATATCAATAAATACAACTGTAGCAGCTAGCTATACAAAAATAGAAGGAAAATAGAAAGTGAAAAAAATTTTATGGTGGGAATGTTATTATCACTTTCATGTTCCTTCATTACTGCCAAGTTATTCCTCATCTTCATATCATATTATCTTCTACCAAACATGTTCCTAATAACATAAAACAGCTTAACGTAAAAGTCATCACTTAAGCAACAATGGTAGACACTGCAATTATATTAAATAATTCAATGTTGAATATTTGAATATGTGATGACAGACAGCATAGACACGAGAGACATAAAATAAAATAGGCAACCTACCATAACTCAAGCAGCAATGAAAAACACTGCAATTATATTAAATAAATCTAATGTTGACCATTTGAATACTTGAAGACAACATAATAACTTACTATACTTGAAGACTCACCTTCCTTACATTTAGGAACCATCAACTTACTGTTAGGGACTAGTGCTAAGTCTTGGAGCCTAGCCTGAAACCAACTTTCAATCTAAAATTTCTCCAAAATAAAGGATTAATTAAAAACTACATAAAAAAAGGCACAACCATCTAAGAATATAGGAAAAGGAAAACAACAATATTTGAAGGATGTCGCACAGGAACCCACGGAAATAAAATACATGAGTTAGTGAGAAAGAACATTAACCTCTGTCCATTTTATAACAGGCTTCCCAGCACGACCCGAGGAACGACTGCACAAACATCACATTCCAACACTCCTCAATGACAATACTTCTTCTATTACTGGAAAATAACCTAACAACCAGTGAAAAGCAGAACTCACTTGAAACTTCCAGCAAGTTTTTGGTAGAATTCTCTGTCCAATGATCCTCCCTTAGGTTCCTTCAAGAAATTCTCCATTTTCTCAATCTGTTTGTCAAAGCACAAGTTCAAATCATTAACAGGACATAAGACACCTTCTGCATTCTATAACCAAGGTTTTAAAAAATGGTATGCAATCAAGGTTTTTAGACTGTCCACAACTAACCAGTTTAAACCAGACCCACACACAATTCATCCTTAACCAAGGAGAACAATCCATAGTAAAAAGGCATAAAAGAAATAGAACATAGCAGCAAAATGTGAACCGAAGCGCTTGACCCGCGACCCCTCTGACTCACCTCTAGTTTGCGGGGAACTCAATGGCACGATTGGGGCAACTGAGGCGTGGAAAGACCTCGATGGTGGAGGTTAGGTTGAGATTTAGGGATGACCACGATGGTGGCCAGGGAGGCAGTGGTGATGACTGGGGTGGAGGTTGGATTAGGGTGAGGGCTGACTTGGGGGGAGCAGTGAGGGG